TTTCTTTGCTTTCTTGCTTTACTAACCACCATTGCAAGACGGTATAAAATGTTGCATGAAGGAGGAAAAGAGCAGAGATAACCTCACCTCTATTGCTTTGCCAATCCACCCTCCAACCTTTAATAAAGGTATCAACAATTTTGCATTTTTTGTGGAAACATTTGTGCAAGAAGAGACAAGCCAACTATATGTTCTACTTCGACTATCATTGGACTATGGAATAGTAATGTACTCTATCCTCTGTGAAACTGACTGTGATAATTGTGTTGCTCCGTCTCAATGGGTCAACTGCTCCATACTGGATTAAGGAAAATAGAATTTCCCCCACAATAATCAAAGTTACCTAGGTACTAAATTAACACTTTCATAACTTACTGAAGAGGAGAGTTTTTCAGGTAGTGAGTCATCTAAAATAAGAGTACAATTACATAAAATGTAAGTGTATGAAAATATCACAGTTTTGCATACGTCTTGCAGGAAACATTTCACTTTTTGAACTGAACACACGAGTGCAGCTATATACCTACAATGTGGAGTGGAGTGGAGGGTAGTTTCTGTATATTTAAACTTCACTGTGAAAGCTAATAATTATTATATAACAGTTGTATTATGTATGCAGTTTAAAAACTGGTGTAGCACTCAATGTAAAACGAATATTTCAGACAAACCAATGAAATCACACGAGTCTCTGATGAGATACTCCACTTCAGACCCATGACTCTGTCTCGATGTAATGCTATCTGGTGGTTCCATTCTGACTTCTGCACTAAATCAAATCATGTAGAGCTGGCCGTCATGAAAGCTATATACCTGTTTAAGGTGCTAGGGCAAGATGTTACTTATATGGAGATAGTAAGTGGTTTACATAATAGTTAAGAAAGAGCAAGAAGCTACTTATGGATATCAGGCAGTATGCATAGGGATGTAATATATAACAATTATAATGCCCAGACCCACCATTGAGCACTGAGCTACACTATATAATAATTGGTCTAACACCAATGAACAAAGGCAACTGTCCAAGCATAAGAAAATCACGTGGTATTGTTACCACACTCAGTTTTGGCCCCTGAAAGTGTAAACAGGAAACACATCCTAGTGCTAGAGCACAGTGAAACGTATAGCAGGACCTCCTTGGTATCTGTATATACTCAAATATGCTCTTTTCTTGCAAATAGGTGGTGGTGCAAAGGTACCCAGGCGCTCAGCTGGGCAAGTGATTGTCGCCCGAGACCCTTACATGCGAAGCTTTACATTGTAGCGCTAGCGACATACTAATTATAGAGCACACGCTTTCCTTATACATACCTCCTTGTAACGCTACAAGTTGCAGCAACTGGTTGAATGGGGGGAAAAAGAGGACGAACACACACACACGGTAACAGTCCACCACGCCCACAATATTGTGCGCATGCGTTAAGGGATAGCCCCGCCCCCTTCTCCACAAGATCGCGGACCCGGTATATTATATACGGTTACCAAACAGCGGAATGAATGCGCATGCGCTTGTACAGTGATTTGTACAGTGATTTGTACGGTCGTGCAGTGAACGGTGCAGACGCGAATGATCACGATTACGATACTATAAATCAGGGTCAGTTGAAGTGAGAGTCAATATGTCTTTCAGCTGAGCCTCTTGTAAGAGCCTTGCTTGGTGCCACAGTTGGGACACACGTGGTCAACATCCTTTAGTCCGTCCACACACAATGGAATGAGACAACAACTGAGGAAATGGGGGGATGGAGGGCAAGGGAGAGGGCGGATGGTAGAGGGAGAGAGGGAGGGAGTAGATGTATGTAGAGAGGGAGAGATGGCAAGAGGAAGAGAGAAAAGAGGGAGGGAGGGAGGAACATAATTATATAGAAAGACCAAAGGGAGAGAGGGAGGGAGGAGATAGAGGGAAAGAGTGAGGAAGAAAAGAAAAGCAGGACGAACAAAATTGTAGGTGCAACAACAATATCAAATCTTGGTACGGAGGTACGGTCTATGTTAGTAAGGCAGTTTGCAGTTAAGTACATGCATAGCAAGACCAGTAACCCCTCCACTCTCGACTCACGGCCATATCCCGAGGATGAAGAGGATCCCGACGATGAGCCAGGTCATGAGTCCCGGGGTGTACATGGTGCGTGTGACCACGTCCTGTCCACACGTGTTACACCTCAACTGAACGGGGTTCTCTGTGAACCTAAGACTCTGCATGCTCACCACCTATAATATTGCACATACACACACACAGTTCAAGTAGCAAAATCAGTCAGGTTTATACAATACATTTAACCAGCCACCACAGACACATAGATGTGCCCAAAGCCACCATAAGTCCATAAAAAAATATACATGGATGTTCTAATACCAGGCGTTAATACGTTATACATAATTTTCGGCTTATTTGAGGAGATACTCATGGCGTCCAAAGGGTTACGCCACACACTATGTGTCTGCTTATCGCAGCCTTACTAATGAGGTGCGTACAACAATAATAAACCAGTTTCAACACACACGTTAAATATCGAAATTGAAACTTCTGAAAAAGAATTATTCGAATACGGGACACCTCCTTATATAAAGGGGCACTTTGTTGTTTTGTCTATTAGTGGCTACATCTATATTATCAGTTTTTCTGAGATATCGATATATAATGCAATACGGATTACAATCCACAATCCAGCAGTTACATGTATGTTATACATATAGCTGCTGGATTGTGGATATAAAGCAAGCAGTATTGGATCGCAATGCTCGATTCATACTACTCTCTTTTATTTACTCCGCTTGATAGTCTCAGCAAGGCATCCTAGTTGTGGGAGGAAAAACTTGGTTCTCTGCTTGACCTTAGGGCAGTTGGGAGCTAAGAAATGTTAGAGTGAGCTAGGTTCGAATTGACCAATCAGATTGCAAAGCCGAGGTTATTTCCCGTAGTAAACCTCGACGGGGTTTACTATATAGTAAACCTACAGAAACTACAAAACCTACAGATAAAACAGGAAAACATAACAAAATGTACATGTAAACAACAAGATTAACAACTGAATCTACATTGACGCGTCGTCCACGCGCACGCGCAGACTCCCTGCGCCAACCAGAAAAAGAAGGCGGAGTCGCTATGCCGCGTGTCTCTGCGCTTCGCTCTTCCTGCACTGCTTTTCTGGCCTCTGGCCTGTCTCCATCGAGTCATCGTTTAGACGCGTCCGCCATACGACCAGCGAACAGGGAAGCAGGAGCGCTAAACGTGAAGCGCTCACTATATAGTTAGACGCTGATTCTCGGTAACTACAACGTTGACGGTTAGTAAGCCTCGTGCCGGGGCGGTAGCGCCTCCGCTGCGCTCGGGGCGCCACAATGCCGGGGACTCGGCTTTCTACTGCGCGTAGTTACCCTCGATCAGCGTCTAACTATTATTTTAGGTTTTACGGCGATAATCCCAGCATCAACAGTCCCAATCTCGTATTATTTACGTCTGGTGTATTAACTCCAGGCTGTCTCACTGGTGGAAGGGGTGAGTAAGGCTTTTTTTCTCTGAGGTGAGACAGACACCAGTATAAAAGGTGCATGTTTCAACCTTTGCTCTCCGCGGTGCGAGGTCGATGGCAACAATGTGCTACGGCAGCACTGGAGTAGTATAGTAACCGATCAACTCCCACATGCAACACAGGACAGCAGATTAGCGACAGTCATGCGAGTATGCCAAATGTTAACACAAGAGCAATAAAACAGAGTAATTGCTCCTCCGCTAGAGTTAGCATTTCGTGTTCAGGCATGCGCGACGGGAAGAGAAGAGGACGAGGAAAGAAAATTGATATTTATCCGGGTAGGGCCACATGTACCAAAGTAGAGCCAAGAAAAGAAAGCGGAGAAAGCACAGCTTCTCAGATCCGCTACTTGTTAATACGGATAGTAACAAACATGTAATAGTTCCACACCTTACATGCATAATTATTGTATACATATCTGTGACCAGAAGAAATCCTGGGATGATGATCAGTACAGCAAAAGAGCTTATCATAACCAAAAGTACATAATACATCTGTTACACCAGTTGAAATGCCAGCGAATTTCGGTTCAGCAAACAGCTACGGTCGATTTCCTCCCAAAATGTATACTGTGCTCAAAATTAATTCGTACCTAATGCTTGCCAATACACGCGAAGCTAAATTATAGTGTGCCTTGCCTGTGAATTTGGATCCAACTCGGCAATGACAAACAATAAATGCTGATTTCTAAGTGACGTATTACACACATTGCAGCAGTATAATTGGCGGATCAGAGGCAAATGTATATTGTAATGTGAAACTTCGTAGTCGTAGTTCAACGTGGAATAGTGTTGTCGATCGGGCGCCGTCACAAATATGCATCTATTGGTATGTTTTCTATAATGTCGTACGTTATTCTAATACGCGCGTAAAACATGCCGCGCGAAGATATCAATGCTCGCGCTCGCTCGCTTCTAAACATGGGTGTTGATACTCCGTCAAGTACGTATTAGTCTAAAAGGGACGGACAAAATACAGGAGTAAGAACAACGCACTTGTGGTTGAAATGCATGTCAATCAGTACATCTAACCATCTATGAATGAAGTGCTATACGTAATAATACTCACGGGCTGTGTGAGGACAGTTCTGTGTGATGTGGCAGGAGCTGTGGTGGTGCCTGCCGGCTATGGCATGGGGCTGCGGAGGAGGTAGCAGCTTGGTTGGGTGGTGTAGCAAAAACACAGCCAGATTGTTGTGGTAGCCGCCTTGCTCTGGTGGATAGGGGGGAGCTATGTGTGTGCGAGCTTCTAGCTAGAGAGAGATCGAGAGACAAGGAGCAAAACAAAGAGGAATGAAAGGGAGGGAGGGAGGGAGGGAGGGAGCGGAGGGAGAGAACACAGAGTGAGATACACGGAGCGCGACGAAAGGGAGAGAGACCAAAAGGATGTGAAGGAGGTTAGGAGAAGAAGACAGACAGCGTAGAGCAAAGAAGGAAGACGAAAGGGTTAGTTTTAAAGAAGAGGAGAAGTAAGCGTGTTTGTAGTGTAGAAAGGATAAAGAGAGGGGAGGAAAGTACACCTGAGACACACACACACGCACACACACGCACACACCACACACCACACACATACACACACACACACACACACATACACACACACACACACATACACACACATACATACACGAGATTAGATAAAAGCTCCGCTACACCCAATGCACACACACACACACACGTCACTGAGTCACAGAGTCACCGGTTAAACGGTTGTCACAGGATAGAGGATGACAGGAGGCCCTGGGCCGTCATATTCCAATTCACATGCAATTAGCAAGCATTTAAAAGGGTAAAGCTGCAGCTTCCAGTGGCAAAGAGTAGTCATGCAATTCTTTGGAATAATACTACAACCACAAGATGGGGGCTCACACTTCATGCCGTTAACTTCCACTCTACCAGCAGTTAATAGGGTCTAGCTGTACTAATACCAGCCATCCCTCACACCACGTCAGTGGTAGGGTACACTCGCTTTAGAGATGGTTGGTTCGAATTTTTATAACTTCTGACTCTTTGTCATTCTTTCAGTCCGTGAGACGGGGAGCGAGATGAGCGGATTAACTAATCTGGGGTAACGCGGTGAAGAAATCTATATCTGTGCCAGCAGTTATGAGCTTACATAACACGGAAAATTAGTGACTAATAGACTAGCTGTAGCTGCCAGTGCCACACACAAAAACCAGTCACGTAGTTCCCGGTAGAACACGATGGTTATTGCATTATCGTCCACTTGGGACGCAGTTGGCACGGAATCCACAAACAACGCACGCTATTCTACACATCGAATAACTGAAATAAGGAGGGAATACCGGATTAAAAATCCAATCAGCAACTCATTAGAAAAACATGTACAGCACAAACAGGTGCTACGAACACTACAAATCACATTATGGTCAAAGCATGCCGTTGCATACGATATGCCTCAGTATGCATACATGTCTCCACAACTTGGTAGCGAGGTAGAAAGGCAAGGCAAGGCAAACAAGTCAACTGCACCCGGGACAGCTCTTTCTTTTCAAAGAAAAGAAGAAGAGTTGCCCTGGGTGGGATTCGAACCCACGACACTCTGCAGTCTAGGCGAGCGCTCTACCAACTGAGCTACCAGGGCAACTCGGCTGGTAGGGGTTCGAATCTACAACACAACACAACACATATGTACATACACAAGTACATAGACCCATTCTAAAGCCTCCCGAGAGAAAATGGTATATACCTGAGAACAGTGACTGAAATGTATGTGAGAAAGAAGTATATATATTGTACTAATGGTAAAACCTCAGAATAAGGGACACTTGTGGAGATATCCTGTATTCGGAGGTAGTAGCTAAATGGGGGCAGAACCAAGTCTCCCTTATAGAGAGGTGTGCTGTGTTTATTTTCGTGGGTTTAACTGTACAACTGACATGCTGAGGAGGAGCATAAGGAGCTTGCTGGTAGCCTGGAGGAGCCTGTGGCGGGTAGGCTGGGTTGGTGGGGGGAGGTTGCTGCCAGAGGGGAGGGAGAAAGGGAGGGAGAGAGGGAGGGAGGGAGTGAGAGAGAGGAAAAAGAGGTGAAGGTTAGGTTGAGGAAAAGAAGAGAGAATGAAAAAGAGAGAGGAGGTGGTAAGGAGAGAAATAAAAAGACGGGGGTTCGGTTAAGTTGTTGTTCTGCCAGTGACATAATGTACAATTATAATTGAATAACTGCATGTAGTACATATGTATATACACATACCTCATCTTTCATAAGAGGTGTGCTCTCCATCTTCCACGGTTCACACTCTGTACAACAACAGTCCTGCAACTGAACTCATTGAACACACTGTAGATACTAGATATCCTAGTGTTATGCATAATAGAGACACGGGGCATTATGTAGCCTGCATTATCGTGCAGTTCCTTTCCAGAGAACGGTAATCACCGTTCGTTTCGTGCGTTATGGTAGCATTTTTGCTGAATGAATTGAACGATTTTGGAACCGTTTTCTTTCTTACTCACACTGTAGTAGGTGAGATTGGGGATTAGGCACCGCTATAAGCAACCAACACTGTGAAAGAAGACAAGATAGGGGGCAAGGGCCAGTCAGCCTCATGTCTATTACAATACGCAAACTTGGCTTAGAATAGTACTCAGTGGGACCTCCGATAAGGGACTCTCTGAGATAGGGACGACCTCTCTACAATAGATACTTGTTTCAACCCCACTTTAGTGTATTATTTGACCTCAGAGATAGGGATGACCTCTCTACAAGGGACACTTGTTTCAACCCCATGCTCATACGTTAGTGACCTCCGAGATAGGGACAACCTCTCTACAAGGGACCAAACGTTGGCCCCCTTGTTCAAAGCTGTAGCTGCTATAAATGTGAAGCACTTGCCCAGAATCTGCAGCAACTTCTCAACATTCCGCACACTATATTATGTGCATACGTACGTAGCAACTACAAGAGACACAATAGGCATCACATGACATCGTGTTGTTTGTTTTACCGTTTGCCTTTGGGATTCATTGTTGACACATGTTAACATGTACAGCCGGGCAAGCGGAAACGACACTAGTTAGATTTTTGTTAACAAAACGATAGTAACAACTACTCTATGCATACCGTAAAAAGAGAAAAAAGTTCGCACACTTCATGCCTTGAGGCACCCTCAAAATTGTCCAGCAGACAGTGCTATAAGTTTTACTGCCATGGATTAATCAAACTATAGTACGGTAAATAACATTATGCGAAACTACATCTGAATCATGCGCTTCAATCTCCACCCCTGTGGGCGTCATTTATAAAAGTCTTTGCATTCCTAGCCACCCTGCGTAGTCATGGACACAGCGTAGGTGAAAATCAATACACACACAAAGGATGAAATGGGTGATTTTTGCACATCTGATACATTCCTGGTGTGGGGGGGGGGGCATTATTCAGAGGCGGCATTTCATACAGAGATAGTCTATAAACTATGCCCCCAGAGAGAGAGAGATATTAGATTCACACCACACACATCGCGAGTAGCTACAGTGTACAAAGTATACGCTACATATCCCCACAGCTAGCTAGATAGGAACCCTGCCCATCAATGCCAGTAAGATTACAATCAAGACAAAGGCTGGAACGGTCACAGGTAAGTGGACTCTGTAGGTATTGAGCTGTTCTTACGTCTTAGTTCTCTAGATCTCTCACGTAAGAAGCAGACGACGATCAGGCCGGCAGCAAGACGGAGAAGCCGAAGGTGCTGGCGCAGCAAGATTCTCGTCACGAGACCTGTTTTGTCTATTGCGCATGCGTGGGTTTCGCGACGGATCGGAGATCGAGAAGCTGCAGCCTGATCAGTTATAAAAAAGCGTTTGAAACGGGCGGCGAACAGAATTAAGACAGTCTCATAACTTATCCCAGTATGGAGTAATTACAAAACGAGATCAGCAATAGCAAACGGCTCCGAAAAAGTGGCGAAGCTCAGCAACGGCAATAATAGCCATCGGCCGTGTTGACCGCGCGCGCCTCAGAGCCAAGTGTGCGAGCTGACGACGCCGCACGAGTTCCGTCAGCGGATGGAGACGACGTCCGCTACGGCCTGACGCTCCCCAGCGCTGGATCCCGTCCAAGTACCGCTACGACGAAGAGGGCTCCGTGCTGTTCGAACGCATCATCGAGCAGCCCGAGTATTACCCCGCAGTAGCCGAAAACGAGATCCTCGCTGCTCAGTCGGAAAACATAATGCGGCTAACAAATCCCGACGAGCTGATAGAGCTCGGCTCGGGCTCTTCTAAGAAAACGAGAGGTCTAATAGAGGCCATGCTAGTCACGGGCTCGTGCAGGAGATACACCCCAATAGATATCTCTGAGGGTGTGATTCGCGAGGCAGGGGAGGCGCTCACGAGGGACTACGATGGCTCAAGTGCAGGGCAGGTCGGAGATTACGACACGACCCTGGGCCGTATCCGACGGAACGGACGGCGACTGTTCGCAATCTTCGGCACGACGGTCTGCAACTACACTTCCAAGGCGGAGTGCATGGAGTTCGTCAAGAAGATCAAAGCCGTCATGACCAAGGGAGACTCTCTGCTGGTCGGGATCGACCTCTTGAAAGACGTGAGCGTTATAGAGTCCTGCTACACGGACCAGGCCGGAGCCAACGCGCGGTTCAAGCTCCGCGTACTGGACATCCTCAACCGCGAGGTCCGCTCCGACTTTCGGAAGCAGGATTTCAGGCTGAGCATGCGCTGGAACCCGGACAAGTCGGCGATAGAGTCCCTGCTCGTATCGCAGGTGGACCTGACCGCGTCCATCCCGTCTCTGGGGCTGGACGAGCTCAAGTTCTCAGCAGGAGACGAGATTCTCGTGGGGATATCGTGCAAGTTCTCAAAAGAGGAGTTTGCGCAGAGCTGACGGCAGTGGTGGGGCTATGAGGTTGGTGGCTTGTACACTGACAGCGCCGACGGCTTATGGAGTGTATGTTGCTTCGGCCATCTAACCATGACTCATGCATAGTGTTGATTATTTGCTGCGATACCTTATCAATAATTATTTTTTCGCACACCGGTTAGGTTATTATCCTACAATAGCAGAGTATTATCCGCTTAGTTGAGAGGCCAGGCATCTCAGTACAGATACGTGCACCATACAGTGCAGCCACAACTGCTTTTCTGTTCCAAGTAGTTAATGTAACATACGTAGGAAACAGTCATGTGAAGAATCACCCGTATAATGTTATTTAAGATGACACAAAGGTCCTATGGAGGTGTGTTTTCAGTGGTAGTTGTAACCTAACACTAGTTGTGTTGCACTTAATCACATACTTTGCTCAAGAATCACACCTTAAAAATGTAATTAATGCAATCTCTCACTGTACACTCTGAGTGTGTGACAGACAGAGTGGTCTCTTAGACACTTTAGCGTGGTAATGAGATACTAGTCGGGGCATTGATAGGATGAGCCAAGTCCCCGTTTCACATTACGTTTGTGCATGAGGTTGTGACAATAACACAACACCCAATAAGGACTAGTAAAGTGTTCACACTATGTGTAAATACCCAATACGTTCGGTTCTGACCCTATAAGGGTGGCTGGTCCAGTTCCATTGAATGTTTGTGGTAACACGTCGACAAATCCAGAATCTCTGAAACTCTTCAAAACAAACTCACTAGTACGCCAGATAAGGACACTTGTGCTCTTTGATAGGGTAGTCAGCAACTGACAATTTCGTTGCTCGGATTCAAATATCATAAGAACTCTCCGCCGGCCTGAGCAATTTCGAAAGTTTCACTATTCCTTGTTGATACTCGTCGAGGGACTTTGCTGCGACGCACAAACAGAAGCAGCTATTTATCACGTCGTATTGAACATCGTAACCTCTCTCGACTGGTGGGTCTTGGGAGACGGTCCACAGTGCACAACGTCCTTCACCACCACTTCTGATGTCTTCTCTCACCCGTTTCACACACCGCTTTCCTCCCCTCCACCCTCCAAATCCTGTATTGCAGAACCGGAAAAACGGACCCAGTCGAAAGCTGCCGGGTCAGCAGCATCCAACCAGAGGCGAAGAGCTTCTCGATTTTCGGCAGAGTAACCCGAGACAACGATTTCCGAAGCCTTTGCCGCAGTAATCACGGTTTTGATGGAGAGAAGGACCAGTCCCATAGCCCAAGATTCTCAGTCCGTCCGGTAATGACTTGAGCCCTTCATGAAGGCAACGGAGCGAATTGCTCCGCTTGAAATCAAAGATTGGGTTATTGCGGAAAGCGTGATCGAGGTACTCCAATGCAGATGGCTCTTCACGTGCACATTCCATAGCGTCGTCACGCAGCAGCAGAAAGGGCACCAGTTTCACGCTTGGAGTCTGACGTTTGGCCCTACGTACTTGGTTCTAAAGTGGGGCCGCGGTGAATGATTCCTCTCACCAGATCGTCGAAAACGCGCATGCGCGTCAGATTCAGACCTGTTGTGATGCCCATTGGTTACTGAAGGGCTGGAGGTAGTGGCTTGGGGTGTTACTCTGGGCGGGTTGTTATTACAATTCATGCAAATCAAAACACCTATAGGTGGCAACATGCGTGACTCAGAAAGTGCTAGGAGTCTGTGGATTATCAAGACCACTTCATTTTGACATTGCTCATCTCGTTTCAATAAAAGTGTCTGTATAACAATATGTAGGAGGTGGTGGAATAATTGACACACATGTTGCTAGTGGATGCTTCAAGCATTAATAAACTTAGGATCTTAGGATGTATATAATTACTATTATGCTCTAAAACACTAAGAGAAACATTGGCAGCAATAGAAAAGTGCATCGGCTCAGCATTGGTCCATATACGCCGGCAGCTTCGGTAGTTATTTTACAGCTAAGTAGAGGATTTGAGGATGGATTCGAGCTCTGCTATTCGCCTGCTCTTGTCTTTCAGAGTCTCATTGAGGTTGGCCAGGTGAGAGTTGAGAAGGACAACTTCTCTTCATCTTTCAACTCAGCCATGCTGGCCGCCATGCTGTTTTGGTGATCTTTGAGCTGTGAGCGCTGCGACTGTCGTGTGGGGTGCATCTCACTGAATATCTTGTCTCCCGTCGGGTCGCGGTAGAGGTTCAGGGCCTAGAGAGGAGAAGGAGTGAATGAAAACAATGGTGTGCACATCTTCCACATAAGGCATGCCAACACCAATTCAACATTTTTAGTTTAGCCTCTAGCCTAGTCTTTAGCCTCTGCCTGAATAGCAGGGCATTGTGTCAATAACTTTTTTTTGCTATTGGTGGTTTTGGTTAATAGTAATGTGTACAAAAACTGGGGGATTTGGGGAAGTGTTCCTTAATAATGCTACAAGTGGAAAAATCATTTCTTCAAAATGAAAGTAGGATATAGGGATGACTTGAAGCACCAAAAAGGAAGAAACAAGGGGTCATTACACACCAAATATGCACAAAGCCACATGACACCATCCCTATATCTTTGTCTCATATTAAACTTTGCCTATGAACAATAAAACAAAGATATAGGGATGGTGTCATGTGGCTTTGTGCATATTTGGTGTGTAATGACCCCTTGTTTCTTCCTTTTTGGTGCTTCAAGTCATCCCTATATCCTACTTTCATTTTGAAGAAATGATTTTTCCACTTGTTTCCACTATTTTTAACAGCTTATATGACAACACTGCATTTTCAGTCACTCTGATGTTCATGGGTATGTTGTAGAGATAACTGTTGAAAGCAGAAGCTAATGGACTGCTCTCTGAAGCAGTGTCTCCAACAAGGACGCGATTAGGTTGTGGCACATATGGTGGTGGTTTAATTGGGCAGGCTTCAGAAATCAGACTACAATGATAGCTGGGGGACAAAGAATGAAGGCGCCTGGCAAGGCACGCGTAACACGGCGCAGATTGCCAAGTTGCTCCTCGTGCAAATCAACAGCAAAACGCAAGCTAGCCACTTACAAATGTGCACACTGACTTACAGAAGGCACCGAAGGATGAGAGTAGTTTTCTCTGAAGGCATCCAGTGCTGGCTTAGTCTCGTTCGTGGACCAGGTTTACGAGACAAAATGCGCGCGCACCGCATTGGAAACGCCCTCCTCGGCGCATGCGGCTCACTGATGCTGAGTTAGCAACAAATGGCGTTGTTCAGTGACTACCGAGGAAGAGCTCAACGATCTACCGTAGTGACTTGCGGCAAGAAAGAAACGATCGCTTGATATGCATGCACACCTCCGGCAAATTCGGAGACGTTCTGTGAAAAAATCAACGCTTCAAGTGCTTCCGGTAAGGAGCTAGCGGGTCTGAAGAAGAAGAAGAAGAAGAAGATGAAGAATATGATGATGACACGAAAATCGTGAAATCGCGTATGAGCGAATTCTCGCGTGGACGACTGAAGGTGCGTATGAGGTCTTGGGGGACATGTATAGGTAGATATGGGCCCGTAGACTATTGCTAGTATGTTTTGAAGGCCTAGGGAGTGATTCTCACCGAGATTTTAGTCGTTTTGTACGCGGATCACGTGAGATTTCACCCGTGTCGTCCCTATATAGAGAGTCTACCGACTCTCTGATATAGCATGCTAAGATTTTCATGCATGGCAATAGTATAGAGCTGAAACTACAGCTCACCTTTGGAATGAAACTGAGGACGAGAAGAAAGTGGCGAGTAGGATGACCCCGCCCGAGAATATAGCAGCCACAGATGTTGATGTAGCCCCTCAGAATGAAGGTGATGAGCACTATCACCACCAGTACTATACTGGAGATGTATATGAGAGCCGTGACGGACTTGGAGTCGTTCAGAATGGGATCCTGACTTTGCGGGTCTGGAAGGCGAGGATGATGCCGACCAGCTGGAGGAGACCGAGGTAGACAAAGATGAGGAGGTCCAGGACAAACGGGATGGAGCCTGACTCGTAGCACTGCCACACACTGTACTCCTCCAGAACTGAGGAACTCTGTGTACGTATGTGTGTATTTAAATGGGGTTAACCCTTTAATGGTGAAGAATTGATTTTTCGAAAGACTTCCCACAACCCTAAATCGCTAGATGCTTATGGAGTGTGAGAGGAGCATGTATAGCTATACCAAGCGGAATTTTTAATGACTGTCATTTTGTTAGTGCATAAAACTCCAAAAACGCATAAGACCTTCTCTTGGTCAAAATTTTCCAAGTCCCCTCAACTCATTCCAACCCCATTAACCCCTTGTAGTAGTAGCAGGCAAAGGTAGCTTGCAGAATGTGATTGCTGTATAAGGTATATAGTAGAACTCACAGTGAGTCCTGGGGAGTGCTCACTATCATCCACCAGCTGAGGAGATGTCAGTGCCTGGGCAATTGTCTTGGCCACGATCAGCAGGACTCCAAACCCAGTGATGGTTCCCACTACACACATCAGGTGCCACGCCTTCAGAATCTTCAGAAAAAATTACAACGGAATCTTAGTTGATGTGATAGACCTTGTGTTACGAATGTGACTTTGTCTTGGTGCCTTACTATTATGACAAAAGCACATCAAAAAAGGCCCAAGAAATTGATTTAACTTATGTCGGGTTGGTAACCTCAGTATATACAAGAACAGCAGAAACACAGTGTGGACAACAAAACTATACACCAACAGCCACCGTCACTACTTTTCTGAAGGCCATGAAAGTTTCACTGTAGGTTTAGATGGTACCATTTTATTGGGGGTAGGGTCATGAAAGATCTGGTAGACCCTCCACATCTTGGCCAGAATGGTCCCATACACCAGCAGGTATCCAATCCCATATGCCCATACATGGACCTGAACATAATGTAATAATAGGGGAACAACACTGTGATCAAAGACAGTTGCAGCAAACAGTAGCGTTCACACACACACACACACACACTTGAACTCACAATCAAAAAACCCTCGGCGCGCATGCACAGTGAGGGTTGTGGTACTTGGTCTGTGTGTGTCTGTCTGTCTGTCTGTCTATACCTCTGTCAGCAGCTATTCTCACACTACAGGCTACGAGGCGGCCCATGAGCGATACCAACGTCTTCAGAATTACGCGAACCTGAAATAAAACGGCGATTTTCCTGAAACGACTGCTTTCGAGAGATATGCCCTAAAAACAAGCGAAAAAGCCAATATGCATAATATCACACCAGCTTACCTCAACCGGTGCGCTTGCTCTCTGTATATACCTTGCAGAGGCACAAGAAGTGACCACGAAGGCTGTGTTCGACTCCCACATCGGCATGCCATCTTATAGTGTAGCTAGCCCATGTCAGACTTTCCATGACCAACTAACGTGGAGACCACGAGTAAACGCATACTCCTAGCGCAGCCATCAATTAGCGGTGCCGCGCATGCGTAATGCACCGAGGGTTTGCACTTCATGTTCATAAGGTACTACAGTGAACAGCATAAGGACTAAATTTAGAAAATGTGACTGAAAATAGAAACTTAAATTCTTGCACTGGGCCCATTGTTAGTTCCATCTTCTTTAGTAACATTTCTATTTTTAACCCTTACTGCACCACTGCGATACACGACAAAGTGTTGCAGACTGCGTATTGACTCACAATGCACTGCATCTGAACGACTGCTCTCTCGATGGTTGGCAGGACACCAAAGAACACCGACACGTACATAAAGATTGCTCCACAAACAATGATGTAATTGAGCAGAGGAGTTGTCAATCTGATCACCCTGTGTGGTACATATATACCATATGAAAAAAGTAGCTACTGTGCACATAGTAAATAAGCAATACAGGACATTTTTTACTGCGAAAATCCATGTTTTTTTAGTATCTTTGGTTTCCTTATCATTGGGTTTCTTTGGGGTTTGTGTAATATATAATTATGTGTGGTTGGTGTCAAGTTAGACATTGTATATATAATATAGCTTTACTTTTTCTTGCGGTAGGCAAAGTTGAATACGAGGCAGACGATGGAGAGGGTGATTCCGACCACGGCCAGGAAATAGTAGAAGACAACCAGAACTGTGTGGTAGGTGTTCGTGATGGCCACTGGCGTTCCGTCTGGTGGGTAACCCTCTGCAGGGCGAGAGATTGAGAGAGATTGAGGTAGCTGTGTATGTCCTGTGGCGTGTTCAGAAATTCAGGTTGGGTTGCTCAGCGCGCGCATAGTGCATGCGCATGCGGCAACCGCGGTGCGGGGCAAGCTCCTTCGTGAAAGCGTCGCCTCGTAGTTCGCGGAGGTCTTGATTGGCTTGTGAGGCAGGTTTATAGCAGCCTGTAGCGAGAAATACGTGTATTGAAAATGTAATGATGGCTGCATGTGTTGCCTATAGGAGCTTTTGCTAAACACAGTAGCGCACACTGCCAGTCATAATTATATGCAGAGCTCGAGCACCCTAAGCACCCCCCTGGACACGCCACTGATGTCTGTTGACCAGACACTATTTCTAGATCCGTTCTCATACACAACTTTGTGTGCTGCTATATACGTGTATATCAGCTAGTGGTAAAAAAAAAGTGAAATCCACCCATCTTTGACTGACACACGCCGACCGATTACTATATCACACAAGAGCATGTCTACGTTCTTTCTCTGCATTATCATGGTCATTATCTTGCTACTGCTGTGATCCCATTGTGCTTTTACTAAGGCCTTTCACTTGAAAGCTTCTGTTATAGCTACATATTATTGTAGTCCAACTTCAAAACAATCCAGGCGCTTGGAATATACGCTGTATTCTGAGCTGTGGGCTGACCAATATCAGTATTGGACAGGAAGTCCTTATCACAACATCTAGAGCTAGTCTGGCTTCCAAAGTTTACACAACAATCATTAGTACATTAGTACATTCAGTATACCTTAAGGTTACTAATTAATTGCGGGTATTAATTTTTGCGTTTTTGCACTGAGTGTTTTTGGCGTATACTAAAATTAATTTTAGCGATTTGTCTACACATTATTTTTTGTTCTATTCAAGCGAACTTTCATTGCGGCACAATTATTAGCGTGCATATAATTTAGTGGTTTTGCTGATTCTCGCTAAATTCACAATTAATAGTAACCTTAAGGTATCAGCACCAAGGCGATGACGCAGCAGAAATTCAGCAATGTGATTGTCTATATAGTTGGACTACAGATCAATTAACGTTAGGCTTCTTGCGCACACAGGATATCCTCCTCGGCTGTTGGCTATACGTTCTGGCATTCCGTTTTCCTACAGTGGGCCTTACAATGTTATGGATCACGTTATAGATCATGTTACAGTACAGCAGTGTGTGTGCATAATATAGGTACATACACATTATTCTACCTGATGTGCCCACGTGCAGTTCCCCAACAGTGTGCCTTACCTGAGTAGAGTGTCTGGTCGCTCTCTCCAGGGTCATACACGAGATGAGAAATTAGAGTCTCCGTCCAGGTAACCAAATCGTACGTGTCAAGCGCAACTACAGGAATTAATAAAGAGAGAAAGGAGAGTTAAGCGCATGGTGGTACATATACGTACATACGTAGTGGTAGCCAATGAAAACTGGATATTTCTCCATTGACATTCTACTAACTAACCGTTTACTCTTCTCCACTGTGCCAGTCTGATCCGTGTATAGATGATGGTGCCATCCTCACTATATCTCACTAGACCCTGCATTTTGGACAGGTAAAGAACAACACACAACACCAGTAATCTATCAGTATTCTTCAGTAATTTCTGTCAACTCCTTAGCATTGCATGCTCAGTATTCTACCCATAACTCCGGATTATTATACCAATGGCAGTAATCTTCAGTATTCTATCTAGTAATTCTCAATGCCAGTAATCTCTCATAATGAGTCAGTAATCTAGTGGGTGATATCCCAATGCAATGTGCCCATACATTGTACGGGGTGAGAGGTGATCTGATTACGTCTGATTACAAAACCACATGCAATCCAATCAATATTACGTGCGGTTGGGTCAGATGGCACACTGACAACGTGTGTCTCACTGAAACAGATTACTAGCACAAGGAGAGGGTTTATTGTTACGTGTTACGATAATTGTCTGCATTCTTACTGCAGGCCCCTGAGCGTACGCACGCATGTTTGGGGTGGGAATGTGCATTTTGGACATTTGATCTGAAAATAGAGCCAACGGGCACTTACTCCTGTCACTTGTTGCACATATTTTTACCAATTATTATACAAAGTGTTCCTTCCTTTAAAATTGTCTTTGTGTGCTACTATCGTACTTAAAATGTCCCGTACTCAACGGTGAACTAACAGAACTCACAGAGACTCCTGTAAAGTCGACCTTGTAATAGTTGTCTCTCATCATGCACCCATGAAGGCATTGGTGTAGTTGAACTCGTCCAGGGGGACAAGACTGCCATCCAAATGACGACACTCGTCGGATCAGAGTGGTTTCCTGGCAGGGTCTCTTGGTCTCATGTCTTCGTGTGAGTTGAGCATCTGGGCCCCATGGACACAGCGCATCGCAGGCCATCATGAGAAGATGAGCTGTGATTGTAGTTGACTCTGCCATACTCGCGTGTGTAATTGCCAAGTAACTCTCGGGATGACTGCAATTTTGCAGTTGTAGGGGACTTCCTTTTGTCTGGGGATGCTTATTTCTGTTTGTTGGTGGTGTTATTGCAGTGTATTTGGGTTTTACAGTCATTCCCCGTTTTTTGTGGTGTCTGGTTTGTTTTTTGGTTCAGGTTTGTTGGTCCGTGTTCTACGTTGTATCTGGTTAGTTACTAGTCGGTGGGTACCATGCCAGCTACGTACACAGCATGATAGACCATCGCCGATGCACTACACACAACCGCCCCACTTGCACCCAATGCACCAAGAACGTGTATATATGCTACATGTTTATTTGCACCCATGAGACCTTAATTGATAATATATCAAGGCCAGCTACGGATCGTACATAAAAAAATTATAGTAGCTTACCTGCAGTGCTTCCATATGAACTACCACAAACTCAAAAACTGAACGTGTATGCATTCATGAGCTACATGTTTATTTGTCTTTATTCCAGCCAAACTCAATTGTCAAAGCTGAAAGCAGCATTACGACCACTCACAGACAAGATATTAAACAACATGCTCTAACCTCACTGTCTTGTTGTCGTCGAAAATAAATGCACTATACATGACTGGTGGGGGCCTCTGGTTGCTAATTATTAATATGTACATTGCAAGGTGATAGCAATTATAGCAGTACTATAATGTGTGGTAGATAAACTTCCATGCATTAAAACTAATTGGGTGCTGCGGTATGGTGTCTGCTTACACTACAATAACACCAGGTCGAGAGAGACCTAATTATCCGTACTAGAAAATGCCGGCGATAAGGTTACGTGTTATGCGTTGAGTTGGGTGTCACGGAGCTCTGACGTTTCAGATGACGGCTTTCCATGCACTACGCTCAGATTCCCTTTGACCTTTTTTGTACACTTGATCCCTGCACCAGCTAGTATGTATATAGCTCAGTAGAAGTAGTATCACACTCTACTTGGGAAGCAGAGGATTATGGGTCTGAGTTCCAACAGTATTATCTCAAGAGATTTCCTCATAGTCGAGCCGTTTAATGTGCACTTATGCATCCTTAATTATTCTGCCACAACAAGCGGCAATCTTGCCTGAGTAGAACAAATATGTCCCATCCAGTCACTCAAGCATGTCACGCTATCTAAGTCTCAAGTAAAAGCTAAGCACACACATCATAAATGAAGGCCAGAGAGTGCGGTCTTTAAAACTCACACATCCGCAACTGTCTGCAGGTTGTAGTCGTCGGGTCTCCGGGACGAGTTAATTAGGAGGGGTTGTGCCGCACGAGAACCTCCTCATTTCCTCGTCACTCACACTCGTCGATGTGTTTCTCTCTCCCTCTCTCTCCCGCCCACCGCTCGGATGCTCCGTGCGGAGTCCCTCCACCACCTCTCGTCCAGGTGTACATGATCCAGCCGTAGTGTGGGTATACAGCAAGTCCTCTTAGCTGCCATGCAGCAAAGAAATTGTTCAGACTGTATCGATTGTAAGTTTTATTTATGTGGTTATGACGATAAATGATGTTAACCAGAAAGAGAAAAATGAGCAATATACACCTGGACTTTGTGCAAAACCCAAAAACATTTTTGCTGGTGCCTCAGTTTATTTATGGGAAACTGCTAAACATCCCTACGTTACAAATAATGCACACATATACGTACTCACAAATAATAGGTCTTGCAAATTTGAGTAGCTGTTGACTAGAAACACTGTGGATGTTCCTTTGTCCTATACGCAAGAGAGACAAGCACACATGTTCCAAATTTCTTGCAGGAACACAAAAGTCCTCATACTATTCTACGTGTGGGCCGATGATACATGTGGCCACAGGTGTTCAAAACCTGAGTAACAGTGTATGTAACATAATCCATGGCCAGTAAATAACTAAGTAGTGCAGAACCATAGTGCACATGTTTAGGTGATCACACGTGGTTGTGTCATGTAGCAGAAAAATCAAGGGTCTTGTACTATATCTGGGGCACGTAACGATCAACTTGTACAAGTAAATGATGGTTTTTGGGTGTACAGTTCAACAGAAATTACATTGCTATATCATTTTCTTACAAAGACTGCTCGCGCTGCAGCCACTGGATCTCCATCGACTTCGTCAAGACGAAGACTGGATGATGATGTCATTGTCGTCAAAACAGCAAAAGTCACTATTGCCTTCCCTCGCACTCTGGTAGAGCTCTCTACATCACTCACAATCTTGAAAGAGGGGGGGAAAGTGATAGAGAGGGAGATATTGGGTATAAGATAGGAGAAAAAGACAATGAGGGAAAGGAAGAGGAAGAGGCCATAGGAAGAGAGGGAAGATAGTAAAGCATAAAAACATGGAGGAGGAGGGACGGAGGAGGGAGGGGGGGGTGTGGGAAGGGACTAACTATATGTGATCTAATGATCTGTAACAAACCTAATGACACAGACAAACGGCACATAACAAAGTAAGCCAGTGTTTTGTGTGCTCTCCCACAGCATAACTTAGAGTGCCACCTAAAGTATATGGTGCTTCCTTACAATTGGGACACCTGGTGGCATGGGACAGGTCATGCTCCACAGGTCCAACAATCAGGGAGTGGCAATGTCTGTTTACTTAGCCTCAAACTCCAGGCATGCCCACTTGCAGAGTGCAGGTGTACAACCTCAGAAAGGGAGCACTATGTAAACCATGGTTTAGCTGGATTGCACATTCAGTTGGTTATAATTATACAACCAGCTAAAAAAATAATCTGGTCCTGAAATTTTTAAGCAAGTCTGTGGATGCCTCTGTGTTGCCTCAGTTACAGTTCATATGAAGCTAGTAAAACAAGACGTCACCAGAGCTTGTATGTTTGTATGATCATTTGCACTATAAACTATAAGCAAATCTGTGACACTCAAGCGTATATACAAGACCTGCTACTTAAACTCCACAAAAGTACACAAAGCACGCATATTACACCAATGACGTACATAGGTATTATACCATTTGAAAGACGTTCTGGTTCAGAGTGAAGACGGCCAGTCGTTTCCAGTTGAACCTGTTGAGGACTCCGAGGATGGCCGGGGCATAGTTTGACGTCGTGGGAGTGGTACGGAAATAGTACCTGAACCTCGACCTGTCGCTGAGCGACGACAACCCAGCGGCAAATGATATCTAGAGAGATTCATTTAGAATTTAGAGACTTTCTTCACCAATTTCATAAGAAACAGTGCGTTATGCCAGGCAGATAATTGCCTGCCACCGAATGTGCAGTAATAAGGGGAGAGAACTGATCTGGTAAAGGATTCAAACTTCGAACCTCCCTAACCATACACCAGTTCATTACTCATAGTCACAATCAGTAATAAGTGAAGCAGGCGTACCTTGTGGAGAAATCGTGCGATTGATCATCAAAGTGATGAACGTTGAAAATTGAAAACAACCACACCAGCCTTTCAGCTTTTGCTCATAGATATGCAGCATTTGTTCGGTCATGTGATACCAAACAGGATACACACAATAAAGGAAACTACAATTAGATGCAAGGGTGCGGAATGCATGAAGGATACATTATTTTTGAAGTGTTGCTTTGCATTACGCATTGTGTTAACAGAGGCGAAACTGACCACCAAAGAAAGTGGAAAATTTGCAACATCTGGGAACACAATCACACAATGTAGAAGTTGTAACCTTGCGCCATAACCAGAACATGATGCCACAAAACATTAACATTTCTGCCTTAATCAAATATCATGCTTGTAGTGATATTATGTATAGACTACACCCTCAATCCCTACGTTATAATCTGTAGCTGCTATATTAATACCAGTTGGAGGAGTGACAGAAACTCGACCTTCTAAAATGACAACCATTTACACTGCATGTACCTCTTGCGTAGGGGATTAGGGTTCAAAAATATCACTTTCCATGCTTTAGAGTGTTTACTACCTAGCCCTGTTTACACAGGCATTATTATTGCTTAAATTATGTGATTGGCAATACCTTAGCCAAAGTGGAACGGTCGTAATTATTGCCTACGACTATGTGATTGTCAATACTCTATGCTATGGGGCCAGACCGAAGCACTTTGCTCTAGATTCTTCGCATTGTAGAGCTAGCGGTCAAACCTCTGCTCACAGCTACTAAAAGCTATATTGCTGACCTGCGTGATGTTCCAGTGATGACTGACTCTGCTACGGCTCAGTCGGCCGGAGCATCCGCACAGCCCACGACGGCGATCTTCGGTGTGAGGCTCCGCTCTGCGTGTCCACAAAGAAAGCATCAGGGGAGTCGTCCGCGGCACTGTAAAAACGGATCGCGATAAAAATCAGCACACTAATATCCAAAAAACACAGCATGCTGCACCCCTTTTCTGCATGCATGGCTGATCAAAAACGCTTTGATGAGATCAAGCGATAACACAAGTCAGACCACCTTCTACTAGCTATCATACTTACAAGAAGAGCATACCTCAAAATACAAGGCATGCTCTAGCTACATCTATAGCTTACCTTAGAGTTCCTGACAGTTTCGTACGTGAGATTGTAACCAGGGAGAACCTGCATGCTCCGAACTGCCTCCAGAGCTAAATCGATGGAAGGGACGGCGCCAGACGCGGAACCCGTACTCTCCATGGAGACGATGAGCGAGAAGTAGACCGTTTGAGGTCGTCTTGTCCGGAGACAGACTCGCAACGGCCCATGCGAGAATGAGAGCAGCAGACACCACTGGGAAAACACTTCATAATGAACGACCGAGATGCGAAGTGCGGTTTTGTTCTGCGACTTTTATGCAATTTGTTTGCGACGCATGCGCATCAAGAAACCAGCGGGAAAATTATATTATAGATATCATAGTCAATGAAGTGTCACAATCCGGTCAGAATTCGAAGATTCTAGTTCTCGTATCCTCCTATTCTTCAAGATCATTTTCTCCTCGGCTCTGGACGCGTGCATTGGGGAATTCAATCTTCTGGGTCTGTGAGTTTGGGAGCTTTGCGGCTAGTTCGTGTCGCTGCTGGTCTTCGCTGTTTCGAGACTGTGCCGTCATAGAAGCGCTGAACACCTTATCCCTGTTGGATCCTGGTAGATGTTTTACCATTCTGCATGTGAGAATGACGTTGTGACACGCAGTTCAAAAGCACAGTACTTACACCAGGTAATTCATATACTTATAGTACGATCATATGCCTATCGAATGTGCACGGTGGTAGGTTCAATGGCACAGTATCGTAAAATTGGCAGAACTCGAACCAGGTATAGACTGCCGCTCTCTACCACAGACACAGCCAGTGCTCTTCCACTGAGCCTAAGTAGCTCGACACATTTTTGCAACGGCAGCTCTAACAGTATGAAGTTAGCGATGCGATTAAATAACTACCTTTGGGGATAAAGTGAGAGCAAGGAAGAATGTGCCAAGGATGAGGATCCACTCGAAAATATGGCGGCACTGATGTTGATGTAGCTCCTCGCGAAAAACTTTACCAGTCCAATCACCACCAGCACGATACTCGAGATGTAGATGAGCCCATCGCGACAGATTTGGCAATCGTTGAGGACATTGATTCTCACTTTCCGTCTGGAAGGCAGGACGAGTACCCACCATTTGCAGTAGAATGAGGTAGGCATAGATCAGTAGCTGAATAAACATGTGGTGACGCACTCTTGTAGCAGCGCCATATCATGTGTGTCTCTCGATGTCAGAGTCTATTGTGAGAAATTACACGTGAGAGACATATAATAATATATAGGTGGTGCCTAAATTAAATTGAATGAACCCAGTGGGAAACCAGATAAGTCAATATTCTGGACCGGCTTAACATAGACTTAACATGTTTTTCCATTGGATCATTCTATTTATAGTATGACTATAATATTATATTTCCCATCCTAGTGGCAATTCTTAGTCAATAGATGAATAGGACTGGTCAATGGTAGTGATAATGAATGACCATTCCACAGACACTAAAAAGTTACAGCTTTCTGTCCCAGGTACCCTGCCAGCTCTGTATCATTTGCCTTTCAACCTCCTAGTCTGGCGTATCCACACCCCCTCATGTGACTACACATAGTTTACACATGACACTATCATATTATTATGTATTACTGTGGTTCCAGATGGGTCCTCGGCATCAGATACCTAGCTCAGGAGACGTAGGAGCTGAGCAATGGTATCGGCAGTGATGAGCAGGACTCCAATGCCAGTTATCCCTCCTACTGCCCACAGCAAGTTGCATGTCGTCAAAACCTTTCAGGAGTAAACAGTGTGGCATATATATATAGTTGCATATAGTGAGGATTAATACACAATAATAATTGTGTATACACCAAAAATGGTTATGGGCGATCTTCATGTTAAAAGGCTTCTTATATACACATGCAAAAAATACTGGCAATAAGATTTCATCTTACCCACATATTACATTAATATTCTAGGGTTAAAAAATGGCACACCCTCCATCTATCTAGAAAATGTTGTTGAGAAGCTTAAAAACCATTACTGGCCATGCAGTAAAAATATAACTGAATGTTTTACACCATTTAAAGTATCCATGAATTGTTTTAGGCCAAAAATAAATCTAAGGTCGATTATGGGCCGCCCTCCAACTCTCCGGCAAGACGTCATATATACGGACGCATTACTATGCCTGGACCTACTGACAGTTTCACTGCTGGTCCGGACTCGAACCAGGCACTATGCTGTCAGTCCCCACGTCTAACACATGAGCCACTTGGGCTGGCCACAACGGGTGATGAAAAAACGTTCCTCTTGTATCAACACTCATATAAAAAAGTGCCCAGACCAGTTGTGGGTCCTTATCCATCAGACCACACCCAATACTTGATTGGGATATGTTTACCACTGCGTTATAATTATCTCTTCTATCTTTTTGTACAGAGGTTTTGAAGTTTAGCGCCTCATCTTTATGTAACAAAATCACAAGGAGATGACATGAGAACTGCTAATTGAAAGTACATACGTTTTTCTTCTTGGTGTGGGTTCTGAAATATTTGGTAAACCTCCACTCTTGGCTAGAATTATTCCATACACCAGGAGATACCCATGATGTACACCCAAATATGCAACTGCAAAACAATGATACGATTCGAAACAATTGTATAATGTATTCTTGTCTAGAACACAACTGAACTTAATCTGTGAAAATTAGAGACACAGGAAAAAGTTTTTCGCAACGTATAATTGAAGGCAAGTTTGTTTCTGGTTGCATCCAGCATATAGTGAAGAGACTGGACTGAGTGTGCTATCAGTTGTATCGTTGGGTACATACGTAGCTATTTGTATAATTATGTTATACCTCTCTGTACAACCAACTACCTAACGTACTGCGTGCACTTCCGAAGTACAATTTTCATGGTGATAAATTTTATACACAGAGTTGTCAAGAAATCTTTACATACGAAAAGTTACGGTAGTGTACTTACTATGCACTGTGCCTTTATAATTGCTTCTTTGGTGGATGGTATAACTCAATGATGACTGAAACGTACATCAGCAGTGCCCCTCCAATTATTATGTGATTGAGTGTAGGTGATGTTAGTCGAATAACCCTGCAAAGGTCGTTTGAGAAATATATAGTGTACATGCAGAGCTCCGTATCTTTTTTTCTCTTGGCATCACATGGTCTATTGTTACATGCGTATGGCACACTTTACCACTGTGAAAACAAAACTAGACACACAAAGAGGCAAAAGTTTATGGTAGTCCAGTCAGTGTATGTCAAACATGCAGCAATCTCTGACTAATATCAAGAGAAAAACATCCTTTTGCTACAACCTAGGCATCCATACCCCTTATCCTGTTTCAATTGAGTAACATTAATAACTGATAATATTTCTTGTTTCTTGGCATGATAGGTATTTTCCAAGCCATGAAGTTGAAACATATAAAAAAAAAAATTGGTCAGTAATTGTGAATGTTTTCTGTTGTCCTTTACCTCCTGTTTCTGAAGGCGAAGTTGAAAAAAGAGCAAACGATGGCAAACATGACTCCAGAGAAAGCCAGTAGGTCAAACAGCCCGACTAGCCAGTGGTGGTAGGTGTGGATTATCACCAGTGGGGTCCCATCAGGTGGAGCACCATCTGTGTATGTGTGTCAATAACAAGGCAACGAGGTACAAAGGCAAAGAAAAGCAAAACAAGTCAACTACACCCAGGACAGCTCTTTGTTTTCGAGAAATAGAAGAGCTGCCCTGGGTGGGATTGGAACCCACGACACTCTGCTTCAAGGCTAGCGCTCTGCATGAACAGTTTTGTTGCTACAGACATTGTTTACAGCATGCTAGGTACATGTTTTAAGTGGCAGTTAGTAAACAGAAGCTTTACAAGTATTACAGTCACCTCTGTGCTTTACTATCAGTCACGTCAAAATATGCGACTGAAAACTATATAGGATAACCCAAACTATTATAGCTATTTTGCCAACTTCTAGATAAAAACAGAAAATATCCTTTGACCATGCAGTTCGTACTACATACACAAATTTTACTCTGTGTAGAAAAAAGTTGATGCATCAATGATAATACAGGGATAGCTACCTGGGTAGAGTATGGCCTCGTTCTGTCCGTCAGCAAACCTGAGTGAGAAGTTAGAGTCTTTGCCCAGATATCCAAACCTCACTCTCTGGAGTCCCTCTGAGAGAGTGCGCAACAGGTACACATGAGGTACATACATACACACAAAAATTGCTGAAGGGTTTGTACTTTGAAGGTAGAAATGTTACATATGAATCTGTGTTTTGTTTCTGTGTTTATTGGCAGGTGTGGTGATGGTGGCAAAATATGGTTCTTTCTTTCTTGCTTGCTTATCTTAGGCTAGTGCTGTAACAAGGAGATGCACTATAATATAGTGAGAAGAGTGATTCATATCTCTGTCACTGTATTCTGTATTTTCTCCTCATGTTCTGTTGTTTTAAGGTAGAGGATGTTACGCAATGCTCTGGGTAATTACCTTGTCCCTCTACGTATCGAGCTTGTGATAGTCGGATCCTTGTGTAGACTATTGTGCCGTCTGCCCCGTACGTCACTGGACCCTGAAAGTGGTATAGATGTCAGAATCAATGGTAGCTTGTTATTGTTCTCTTCCATCAAACGTCCCTCATTTACACCATTCTTTACTGACATGCAACCATAAAGAGATCAATAATAAATATAAGACACATGCACCACAAAATGTGCTAACTACAACTCACAGTGACCCCGCTAAAGCTGAGGGATTGAAGGTTGTTCCTGACAACGCAGCCCATGAGAGTATTGGTATAGTCAAACTCATTCAGTGGTACCAGTTCCCCGGCCAACTCTGATGCATTGCAGTTGTCAGTTGTCTCATTGCCGAGTCTCATTCCCTCTGTTATGTTGAGAGCTACTCCCACACCGCGTCAAAGGCCCCAGTGATAGCAATGTTGGGTGAGTAGCCTGTTAGCGCTGCCCTCTCTATGTACATCCCCACGAAATCACTGGCAGACTGTGGGAAATGTACGTATGGAAGCACTTTGCTAAAAGTTACACACATATGCAACGAGTGATTATAAACGTACCGCAATGCAGTGTGTTAATAGACAATTGGTGGACCAGATATGCCATAGGTACAAACATTGAACACTAAACAACTAAACAGAGGTGTGTTGAGTGTGCAAATACCACCAATTGTTTTGTGTATGCTTAGAAAAATAGACAGCATATCACCTATTAACAACTATATGATGAAATGCACTAGAACAGCTGCGAGACAGCAGAGTCTGTGACTCACTATTCCAGCTGAAGTGGAGGAATCAAAATTGTCTGGCTCGGGCACAATGTGCGCCAGGAGACCTCGCGAGTTGAACAGAAATGTTTCCAGCTCTTCATTGGTACAGTCGACTGGTATGGTGTTATCTGTCCACCACTGGTCAGGGTATAGTGCATAGAATATCCAGGCATAGTTTGGGTAGACCAAGTTCCGTTTAGCTGCCTGTGTAATCATTGGTGAATAAAGTTCAACACGTCTTAGTTGTCTCTGTGCATATCCATGGTACACACTTAACCAGTTTCATTGTTTACTTAAATATTTTCCTACTTCGGAAGTGCATTTCCTCTGTTCCCTTTGTTTCTCGCCTATGCATGCTTATTGTTGAGCAAAAACTAGTGCTATAGGGTATGTATATACCTCACAGATGATCCTTCTGGCGTGACGAAAGAAGCAGTTGACAAAGAACACATGATACTCCTTCCCGTCCTGCGAATTTTTCAAAGGGAAAACACAAAAAATCACCCCATTGAGGTGCCAGACGCAATGCACACACACCAACGCTCTGCTGTAAACAAAGCTGTTTACGTTGAGGCAATAGGATGCCAGGATCAGACGATATATACACACACTGACGTGGAGTCTTACTAAGAGGTCCATGACATCTGATAGAGTGTCTCCTCTGCTTTCAAACACCACGTTGACTGTAGTGGTGTCGTGGTCAGCGAAACAGCACTCTTTACTGGTCCCATCTCTCAGGTTCTCCTGAAGCTGTGCATAGTCTGTGTACACCTGTGTGTAGGGAGATCGAATGTCTTGGTATGCATAATGTTACACTTTAGGTTCATAGAAGGCTTGATAATTGTGCGTATCACACTCAAATGTCACGCAAGGGAGGGTGAACGTCTGAAAGAGTACAGTTATAAAAAGAAAAGTCAGTTCTCTGTGAGATTTGGCTCACAAAACTCTTGTTGCCAGGGTGCATAATAGTGATTCAAGTTTGTTTCAATTCTCGCAGTTTAATTTTTGTGTGGTGCGTGATAATTATTATGTACCGTTTGAAAGACGTCTTCGTTCTGAGTGATGAATGCGAGTCTCTTCCAGTTGAATCTGTTCACGAGAGCCAGCAGGGCGAGGGCATAGTTGTTGAAGGTGGGAGTTGTCCTGAAGAAGTTTCTGAACCTCTGTCGGTCGCTGAGAGTCGACAGTGGTGATGCATATGATATCTATAAAAGGCAAGAGACAAGAAAAAGAGTCACAAGCCATTGTATATAGCATATCAATTGAGCCACAGACTCAAGAGAGCATGGATCCAGATATCCGGTTCATTCGCTCCGAAGCATCATGAGGCTAGCAGTCAATATTCACCGTTCATGGCCACACATTATTGTAAGAATTCTGTGTTTAATCATCTGAAGACTGTATGTGCATAACTCGGGGGGGTTGGTATCTAGGGATCAGTTGGACATTTGGTGTTGGTATGTTTGCCATAGTGACACTCCCATGATCTGATAAACATGGAAATGCTCAAGCAGTACATGGATTTGTCCTTGCTGAAGCCACCGTTATTGCATGCTTTATTAACACATCAGTAACATGGCCACTGCTCTGATAAGTCCAACATTTCACGAACCATTACCCAAGTATTGTAACCCACGACACATTGGTTGGTATGTGTGCTATGGAGTCTCACTCTTGTAAATAAATAAAACTGTAGCCACGTAATTATTGTAGTATAATAGGACTGTAACTGCTCTCAATGAGTATTTTAAAGGTACAAAAAGCCCGTGCCCATTTATGTGACATACCCATAGAGCCAACAAATTACTGGGTGGGTCCCGGCAATGCCACTAGAGTATTACTTGCTGAAAACAGAACAACACATAAATTAAAGGGAACATTAGTCTTGGTCATTACCCACCATTAATTATGGGTATGACAAGCACTACTATAATGTTAGGTTCTCAAGTTATGCTAATAAATATTTATAAACGTGTTTTGTTCCCAGGAGTTAGGGAGTCATTTTGTACACAATGATTGTGACTATATACAGCTCTTAGGGCTGTGTAGAGGAGATCAAGTTATGAGGTTCCATCTCAGGCAGCTTGCTGTACACAGCAGACCTTGCCAGTTGGCTCTATCTACTCAGCAGGACTAGGCAGCAAGCAACTTTTTAAAGAGGGGCACTAATGGTCAGACCTGCCATGCCTTTGCACACCAGACCGTCTGGTGTGCAAAGGCATGGCAGGTGTGTGCAAAAAAACCCAGTGCACCTGTACCCCTCCCTCCTTATGGTCTGCATATACAATACATGATATTGATCAGGTACACTTCTGTTTCTGATCCACTAACAGCAATACACAGTGCTCCACGGCCCACTGTGGTCTGTAAAATAAGCTCTGACCTCGGTCCAGTGATCATGGTGGTCCCCACAGGGCACTCGTACACTTTGCCCGATCATGGTTACAAATAAGCACGTAACCCAAGCCACGTGTGGCAGTGTAAATTCGAACCTTGTGCGGTATTGGATTTCTGATACCGAGTGATCCAAGCCACTTGTGCAGCTAGTGCACTACTTGAATGGTCAACTATTACAGAAGTGGGTATGTACGTGGACACCCAAACAACAAGTAGGAGGAGATATGACTTCAGCATATAAGGTTAGCATGATTGCTGATATTATTGCTGCCCTTTTGCCTCCCCCAGCAGGAATTATTTTGTCACATTAATTTTCCACAATTCTTTTTAAAACTGTTAATGTGACGTGTCGCACTAAATTATTATATATCAACTTTGTAGATTTATACAGTATACATAGTGCTCTATACACGATAACTGAGGATACCTGAGAATGTTCCAGTGATGGCTGATCTCAGCTACTGGCTCAGTTGCAGCGGAACAGCCAGCCCCAATCACAGCTATCTTTGGTACTGGATTGCTGTCTGTATCCTCGAGAACACGTCAGTGACGTAGTCCTTGAACACTGACATAACAACAATCCCATGCATTATGTTAGCCATAATAGCGCTTTTAGAGACTATAACTAGCTAGTTGCTAGTTTGCTAACTAGATCATGGAGTTTGTTGCAGACGGTGTCACCTTTGAGTCGACGGTTCATCGTAGGTCAGGTTGTAGCCGGGCAGAGATTGTTTCGCGTGTATCTCCTCCAGAGCAATGTCCACGGCGGGTATGACTCCGGACGAGTTGAAACCGCCGGGGCTCCTCCGCGAGTAGATGAAGGAAAAGTACACGGGCTTGGAGGACGATTTCCTCCTTAGCGCTGGCCGCTGAAACGAGACATAATGTTGCAAATAGAAGATGCATCGTGGAACTAGTTTAATGTGTTTTTGCGCGCACACATGGCTGCAGATTGTTCACGTCGTATATACAATGGAGCGCACAAGGCTCAGTTCCCAGATTTGACGGTCGCTAATACGCCATGCTCAGAATAATCGACGTTTGGAGACCATGGACACTTTAGGAGTAAAATGGGGATTGCACACATTTCAGATTTAAAAAGTTGGATTGCCTTCCAATCTCCTGCATGGCTATTAGAGCAATAAGTACTATAGTTGCCAGTTGGAACAATCACATCGCACCACTTTTACTTGTAGAGTTAGGTAGCTCCGCCCTCTCATTGTTCTTGAGGAGGAGAGGAGAGGAAAGATTATCTGAGACCTGAGACTGCTTCTCTCAGGCCCCTTTGTGCTGTTGAGGGTTTGGACTGTGTCTCAGTGCCAGTTCTACTATGGGCTATTTTACCATCCCATGTTGGAAAATTCATACAAATGGCCATCTTTTCATTCTGGAAATGTATTATGGAGGGCAATATTTGGGACAAAGCTGATAGGACTTTGTGTGTTTAGCTCATTCAATGATTGTAAGAGCAGATAAATCTCTCGCCGATCCTTTCCCACTGCCTGTGTATTATCGCTACCAGTGGCGGCAACCCTCCTCTTTCACTCTGAACAATCTATAAAATGCAAAAGGTTGAAAAACTATGTAAATAATTTACTGTATATAGCTGATTTATGAAAAGCACTCAGTACGCATTGTAAGGAGTTAGGCGCAAACAATATATCTACGTGTCAATGTCAGGCAAACTAATTTTTGCACATTTAAAAGGGGAGTAGCTACAATTGCCAGGACGCTCACTTAATACCTTGAGATGCAATTCTGTTGCAATTCTGCCGAGATGCATGGTTTTGCCAATTCTGGCACATTCTATAGAGTAAAAGAGAACAAAAAACTCATTCATTACCAGTGCACTTATCTGTAATTCTGTTGTTTGCTGTGTCACGTCATCTAATTAGTGACGCGCATGAATGGATTAACGAGATTCCCACTGTCCCTATCTACTATCTAGCGAGCCAAGGGAACGGGCTTTTAGATCTATTCTCCTTCACTCCCAGCTAGCATGCAGTAAACTTTATCGTTATCCACTCAAATCTCCATACTAGCTAATTGCACTGAAGGCCAGAAATATTGTGCATTCACCCGACAACATCTCTGACATGCATTTTTGTTGCAGTCAGGCTATCTTCAAATGCTGAACGTCAGTTTCTTAAGTGCAAGATATTGCGCATGCGTAATTATTATACTTGGGGGTTGGGCGCTGGCTCATACGGAGGGGTGTGGCGTCAAGTGCTTCAGCGGTTTATTTGGCAAGTCGCGTTTGTTCAGGTGTGAACTCGTCTGCTGAGGAACCAGTATTAGCTACAGTCTTACCAGTCTATTGTACTCCCGCTACTGAGAAAAGGTGAGTTTATGTTTCGGTGTGAACTGTGATTGAAGTGCTGTGACCGGGGATCAGTCGCGAGTTCCGACTAGCTAGTGACCCAGATCTTGCGATCGCTTGGGATCGCTTGGTTTCTTGCTCAGATCTTTAGATCTTTTCCCAAGTGTCCTGTTTAGTGCCGCGGTGAAACTGTGCCAGATAGGCAGGATAACGACGACCACTGCCGCAAGCGCTCGACTCGCTATAGCATTTTGTCGTCAAGGTTGATTGTCCGTGGCATCGCCGTGCGCTTGATAACACGTTTCTTCGAGAGGCTGCGGTTGGATAGGCAGCCATAACTAAATACCCTTGGGTCCCTGAGGATGAGTGGGTTTGGCATTCCTTCCATAGTTGGGCATACTTTTACTTGTGCCAATGCACCCAAATTCACTGATCCAGAATAGATCTGGTAAAGCATAGGTGGTAAGATATGTATTTTGTGAGTCTTGTGCTGGCGTTGCTAGTGCTTCTGTTGGCTGACCATGTCCCCCAGATACTGTACAGCTCCATCAAATGCTAAACCGAATTCTTTATCTTTTGCTGGAGACTGCTATCAGCAGGACCATATATTAGATATCTCTATGGAGTCATTAGTTAACTTCGTAGATACCTAACACAGGGTACTGAGGTCCGAATGTATAGTCTTATAGTAGTCTGGATATGTGGAGGAAGGAAGAAGGTTGTATGCATGCGTCTGTAAATTGCATATTGGGCAGTGCAGGAAATGACCCAGGGGTCATAGACACCACAACAGCCACTGCCAGTGTCCACTCACATGATGCACACCTGAAGGATTCCACCTACTACTACTATACCTTGACTGGTGAGAGTCCACAGTGCCACTGTGCTCTATGTGTATCTCTGTTAGTTTGATATTTCAGATGTTACGCAGCTTATTCTATTACTTCACCAACACCGACGATATCTCTCCGGCAGATATTTATTCTGTTCTGAGCTTATGTGGCATATCAAGTGCAATTGTAATCCTTACGTACTGCACGCTTGCGTGGAGATTGTGTGATATGATTACACATACCTCTATGCACCCTTATGTATAATGAGGTTCTAGGGTGATGCAGGGCATCGAAATAAACCCTGCACTCTAGATTAAAGCTTTTGTTAAACTCGACGCATCAGGCTTCCTTGTGCTTATATAGTTGCATACATCTCTCCACTGAGCCGTCAGGAACTGCTCAGTATAATGGGCAGGACTAGGCTCATGTGGCTACATGTGAATGGAAATTTGGCTTCAAGACTGTGGAGTGATAGTAAGAATCAGGCTGAGTCACCACAAAGCTCCGTTCATAACAGCGTATCTTTTTGCCATAATGTAGAGTGCAGCTGTCTGTTAGTGTGATTAGTGCACATGTCCTTTTGTAGTGTTTTTGAGGCAAGCAATTCCCGTCATAACACAAAATTATGCACTGAATTTTGTGTCTGGTCTTACGTAGCTACGTAGTGAACCTAAAGCAAGGCACTTTCTTCCTACATGTACGCATCATACATGGGAAGCTCGGCAGGCAGGCTCTTAAATCTACTAGTGATACACACGTAATTATCCTAGCTATGTGTGAGCTTTGAGGTGCCAGAGCTGGATTGAAAGTAGGGTGCTTAATCTGGTGTGCTTTTGCTGTGGCTTTTGGAAAATCTTTCACTTCTGAAAATACATGGATGTTTATCATCACACAGTCTTAAGTGGGGGAATTCTGGTGTTGAACTAATTGACTTCTAGTTTTTGCTTCACTTCTAGCTTAGCCTCCGGTTTTCAGTGGAGCAGTACAACTTAGGTACACAGACAACTGACGACAGGAACAGCCGACAACTGACCGACCGACAGATAGACAGACTGACTGACAGACAGACTGACAGCAGACTAACACCCGTGACTACTTGAGGGAGAGGACCAGAGAGACAGGCACCATAAATCACTTTAGAGACAGACCAACACATTCAGTAGAAGTCCGAACTTCCTGTGTACACATCACAAGGAACGAGCACCACTACAATAGTGTCTAGTGTGTCATGCCATACTTTACTGGTTGAGTATCTATTATGCATACCACTGCATGTGTAATCATGTACATGTACATTGCATGACAATCAGCACTCTGCTTGAGGACGGCACATTTTTTGGGCTTTGTGCAGGTGACATCCGATGTGGCCACTCTGGCTAGCTCAAAGATGCGTGTGGCTGGCTGCACCAACGTTTTGTACACATACATATATAGTAACGGGTGACAGGAGGAACTTCACGTGTGCGACACTCCGCCCTATTGTTCTTCCTCCGCTGGTCGTAGTATCCAGGCAAGGACTTGGCGTGTATTGTGTCGTGTTGTTTCTTCTGTTAGCTTGACGCAGGACAGCAGAATATCAGATTTTCCACCCCACCATACCTATAATACATGTAATAATGACACATAAAGACACCGCCACAATGATCTCTATATATTACACACTTCTCCATTCAGGGTAAAGGTGTGTTGGCCCTGAGCGGGAAGAAATGATCACATTCCTCAGTAGTCATATCCTCATTCCTGGCATTGTGATTAGTATGCATACTATGAGGTCATCCTGTAGTTTCACATACTAGTGCACAGTGGAACTTCTCAATACGATATTTCCTGTCAAACTTGTACTTTCACATCCTTTTAGGGAATTGTTATAATTGCATAATTATGACCTTGCAGCACTGATGTATAATATTATAGTGTAATGAATTTTACATTGGGACTGATGTTGTTATGATGACTTCACACCTGTTCGAGGAAACTTGTCACTATTGCTAATTGTGCGTGACATGCATTTCCCCTCAAAATGTGCACGGCACCAGTGTTGAAGCTTTCCGTGTGCTCGTCAATTGATAAACTACACAACATGCACAAAGACAATTGGTTGATGTTGCAATTCGGTCAGAAACTGCATAATCATGTCCACCCCCTGGGTGCAGTTGACCTGTTTCCTTTACCTTGTGGAGTGGGCTGAACCCCTACTTACAATATACAGCGTATGCACATACTCGCCGCACACCTCAATAGCATATTCATTGTCTTCCTGGAATTGACATACAGTCCGGACATGTTTTGCAATGCATGGACCACTGTGTATTATAAATACACTGTAAGGTACAAAGGGCTAGGGTTTAGACTTTAGGTATGCTGCCCACAGGACACTGATTGTCATGGGGGTTTCATTCCATGAAAATCGAGCCTTCCTCATGCAGTGTAAGAATATATGCTGTATGTAATGTGCTAGTCTACATATTATGTCCTTAGTGGATACTTTGATTGAAGTTGTTGGCAACAGTTTCAATCGACTTGCATCCCATGATTGCTCCACATAGTATAATGACAACTGCATGCCCACATGATGACATCATGTGTCTTATAATACTCAAGATACACTGACAATTCATGCACAGCCAACACTACACTGTCGAGTTGCGAAACTACAAAATGCAAGAGCATATGTTATATCACGTATCCGTGGTGAACAGTGAAGCCTATCACATCAGTAACCTGATGTGATAGTTTTCTGTTGAACTTGCGCTGAGAATTTCTCATACGGCTGGGTGTAATCGTGCCAAATTCAAGGTCTTCCTACAATGTAGCTATACACCAGCTGTATTATTATCCATACACTTTAGCCATAGTAGAGAAGGAGCTGGCTCAGTAAATAGATTAGCTAGTGGTGTGGCTGGACATGCTGGCCAACAACTGCAGGTGGCATCTCTCCGATCAAACATCACTGTTTTTGCAATCCTCCATTCATCCCCAGTGTTGCACAAGAACACAGCTACATACATAAAACCTGATGCGTCCTGGGCTCTATGGAAAACATGCGCATTCCCTTCCTTATTTGGCAGAAATTGTTTCTCTAAACTGTGGTTTTTCCTGCGAAAATTTTCGTTTTTGCTGCAAATGCCAGCCAGCATGAAAAATCCCCCACCATGCAGCAATGCATTCGGTGTTGTGGTTTTGTGTATATACATACGTAGACATAGCTCAGCACTTATCAAAAGTGATTCTTAGTAAGGTGTAGTGTTGTACCATTTTACATAACGTATTTAGAAAACCCTGAATGAATTTCCCAATGCTTATATAATACAACCGATACTTGACAGTGCAAACAAGATGTAGCATCATCCACCGAGGTCACACTTTATGATTTGCTGGCAAAGAACTGCTCCAGTGACATCACTATATGCATATGTAACTCTCTCACAATGCAGCCCCCAAAGCATGCAGCTGAGTGCTATGAGATTACAGCTCCGTCTTCTACTCTGGACAGTTCTTCTCCTGCCAGCTCTTCTTGGGAGATGCTGTGCACAAGTCGACTGTGAGAAGAGATCGAGCTACACCAACTGTGTATCAGAAATAAATGGATTAGGGAGTAAAGGCGTAGACGAATCGCTGAACTGCGATGACAGCGGCAGTGAAGTTATATGTAAGCATAATACATACACATACACACATTATACATACACATGTACATATAAAATAAGTTAATGCAATTTGGCAGAGAGAAGAATTCAGTCGAAACTTTGGCAATGACAATTTTTGCATGTGCAGCGAATACTTACATGTATAATAGTCAGCTTTTGGTTCCCTGAAAATCGTAGTGCTGTCACGATAAAGCAACCCGAGGGAGCGTATTTCGATCCCTGCACCCCAGCTAAGCCATGAGTTGACGGTGGGTCCATGACTGCCGGTGCATATCCCTCAGTAAACTTTTGTAAACAGAAATGAAAGAGTGCTCAACTACATATACACTGTATGCAGGCATCAGAGTGGTGTTTCTAGGCCACCGTAAGTATACCTTGCGTTGCGCACAGTCAGGTCTCGGAGTATAGAGACTGCCGTGAGAAAGTGTGTCTTACATCTGTGACGAGGTGTTGTATAACCCCATCCCTCGCAGATGTTCCCATGGGCAGTGAAGAGACTCTTGTGTGTCAGATCCTCCGGGATGTCGAAGTTGACTTCTCTGGTGGCTGGAATTTCTACCCTTCCAATGGAAGTGCCATGGTATCAAATGTACAGGCCAACCATTCAAGGTGTGTATATAGCTGTGTTCCTTCATTAATATACAGTGTCCTGTTCCCCTCTGACTAGCTCTGTCCCCAAACTTAGTTTTGTAAGGTGGGGAAAGGAAGGTATATATGTAACTACGTAGTATATACGTCATATAATGCGTATATACGCTAACCGCGCCCCCTCTCTAAGGCCCTACCTGCGCATGTGCAAGTATTTTATATTTACAACCCCCAGTTATCATAATATGCTGGATCCGCCTCTGGTGTTCATAGTACACCTGTATACTGATGATGCAGTTGTGGGTGCAGCTGTTGTCAAAGGATATTAAAACAAGATTCTGAATGCGCATTTTCTGTGGGACAGTACGATGTCTAGTAACTCATGCATGCTGTCATTACATTATGGTAGCCTGTAGGCGGCAGTACACCACTGGTATATATATCTTTGATGCATCTTTGCATACTGCAACCAAAAATCTTGTTGCGTTTGGCCCTCCAATGTTGCAAAACTGTTTCGTGATGTCAGATCGCATGTGCTCTAGCGAACCAGGCTCAAGACCTAAGGGTTACTGTCACAGTATAGTATTAATGTTCACGAAATTTGTCATCAAGAATTGTTTTTGCTGTCTCTTGCAGGATCTCGGCTGAGACAGACCGACTGACCATCACAAACATACAGCCAGAGGACGAAGGACTCTATGCTTGTGTAGCAAGGGAGGGTGATGATGTGCAACGCACCGTCATTGCTGGCTGTATCATAGTCCATGGTAAGAAGATGTGTATGAGTGGTGTGTCAACAACTAGGTAGCGAAGTAGAAAGGCAAGGCAAAGCAAATAAGTGACTACACGCAGGACAGCTCTTTACTTTCAAGGAAAAAAGAAGAGCTGCCCTGGGTGGGATTCGAACCACGACGCTCTACTTTCTAGGCAAGCGCTCTACCGACTGAGCTACCAGGGCACAGGACCTTCACTGGTAGTCTCACTTGCTGTTCTTCGGCCTATACTCAGTAGTTGGTGCTTATCACTGCTACCTCCTTAAACCAAATCCTGTGGCTTGAAATAAGACTCTATTGTAGTCCAGCAACTACACGTTTATTCCTTCTTCCATTTCCTCGCTCCTTCTCATTAGGAACTGCTCAGTCGTATGATGACTCCACAGAGAACATAATTGCCTTAAGTGGAGAGGACGTCATACTTCCAACTGCAGTCGTGTTCGAGAATGCCGGTCACTGTGGTGTCAACCCAGAGTACACTCAGGCTCGACTGCGATACGAGCCCGACCAGATTGTACTCTTTCACTGCATGAAGATGCCGTGTTTGGAGAATTCTGCTACACACAGCTACAACTTTTCTGCATTGGGAAACGTGACTCTGCACCCACCAGTCAATCCAGGGCCGTACTTTATGGCACTGATCCAGATGTGCCCTAGCCCGGTCCTAAGGATGACGTACAATGTCAATGTCGTTGGTAAGACGAACATAAGAAGATATAATTATACCGCATTGATATGTGGCTATGGAGAGTATCACAGGCTAGAACTATTTCAGCTCGCAAGGTTTGAGCTGGGACAGGCAGGCATTGCAATCGGTGGTATCTGGTCACTTAGGGGGAATGTGGCAGTATATAAGGGCTGAACTGTTACTGAAAATTTAGCATTCTTGCACTGAGCCCTATTGTTTAGTTAAATTTAGCCCTTATGTATTGACACGTTCCCTTTAACAATGAGTTGCATGCAGCAGTGGGGCAGTGGGTATATTTCCATGAGGCTAAAACTATTGCAGCTCACAGGCTTTGATCTGGGACACACATTAGGCATCTGGTCACTTAATAGTTGCATGGTGCTGAATCGTTTGTGGGCAGTGCGGGTATTACTAGAGGATTGCAACGCATTTTTGGTGAGGGAAGCGAGCATTTCAATATTTTGCGTGTTTTACCGCGTATTTAGAACATATTACGGTATGTTGGTCCGTAGGTTCCGCAATTCAGACATCGAGATTGGCAAGCAAATTGGGGAGTAACTCATCAGTTCGTTAGTTATTACACACATGGACGCAGTTGATTTTCTCAATTAGTGTTTCCATACACATTCTTCTACTTACTACATGGCAACAAAAACTATTAAACATTAATGTTTTTTGTTTCAGGTTCACAAACCTCTGTACCATCTCCAAGCAAAGGTATGCCATAGGTTTACGATTATCAAGAATGCATTGGTTTAGTCTTGGACCCAGATGAGTTGACATCCATTATCATTAACCCCCTACTTTCGAAAAGTGAATTCCCATTGATGTTATAATAATTATAACGTATAATAATATAAACATCTGTCTCACTGCTCTAACCACATCCCCAGGTCCAACCGCACCAAGACCTGGAGAATGTAAGTCAAAATTCGAGTCTATTGTTGTCTGAACTTTAAAAAAATTCCACTGACCTAAAAATTCCACAGCACAATACCTTTTACTGAAGAAAACTGGTTATCCCAGACCCACTTGCTTAAGAACCATCAGCTTTATTATAATTACACCTGCTGTGTTAACCCTTGGATGCCATGGGGATCTGCTTAATTAAGCAGAAATTGATGTATAGTGTATTAGCACCTAGTATTATAACCCCCATATAAATTCTTATGGACTTATGGAGGCTCTGGACACCTTTTTTATGTGTCCGTGGGCTTGGTGTTAAGTGTGTGTATCGGATGTATATAAGTCTTACTGGTGACCACCAGCATTGTTTAAACTGGTTCTCTTCTCCCTTCAAGCAGCAAACGATGGAATTGTATCGGTTGTTGTGTTGTTTGTAGCTGTCGTGGTGATCATCGGCACGGCTTTTGCTGTTCTTTCCTGTACATTTTCTGCAAGCATCACCCTCAAACCTTTGCTCGCTTCATCCCCAACAAGGAACCAGTTTTACGAAGATCCTAACAGAATGACCAACGGGGTTGAGCTGGGCGACCAAGTCCGGCTGCAGCGGGAGGAGAGCCTATACAGTGGACAATTCCCTCATCCATCATCGGAGGAGACAAAAACGGCATGGGTCCCTACGAAATCGACATACACCTCAACGAAAAACCGACAGACGAATTAGGATCCATATGGATACGATCTCCCAGTTTTTTTGTTGTTGCTGTATTGTCACACATTCTACACTTAATACATTTCATTTGTGTGTTTGTACAATTCTGCACCTAGAATGAATCAGTGGCTAAGTTAGCCACCTAACTGCAACGAACAATTATTATTATTACCCTCGGCGCGCATGCGCAGCGAGGGTACTGTAGTTTGTCTGTGTGTGTGTGTCTGTTACTCTACATCTCACCTCTCGAATGTCTGTTCGTCCCAAAAACGATACCATCTACCCAACGGGCGACGAAGGTCAGAAAATATGTGGGGTTTTCTCTGAAAATGCTCCGTTGCAGAGCTACAGCGCTTCCAGCATTGTATGGCTAATGCCGGTAGTCGCCATTTTATCGCTGGCGGATAATGCGCATGCGCTTATATTTAGCAGGCTTACCTCGACCGGGTCCGCTTGCTCTGTCTATCTTGAAGGCACAAGAAGTCACAACGAATGGCGTGTATCGACTCTCGCGTGCTATCTACTACTGTAGCTAGCCCGTGTCAGACTCTCTGCGAGCTACTTCGCCGAGGGTTTGCACTTTAGTGCTTTTCATTGGGTCTGTCTGTCTTGTTTGTTTGTCTGTTACTCTACATCTCACTCCTCGAACGTCTGCTCGTCCAGAAACGATACCATCTACCCAACGGGCGACGAAGGTCAGAAAATAAAGGCGGTTTTCTCTGAAAATGCTCCGTTGCAAAGCTAGAGCGCAAAAAGCCAATATGCAAATACACAACGGCTTACCACATGATCTGCGTACTTCGGAGGCACCAGAAGATGCAACGCAGGGCGTGTATCGCCTCTCGCATGCTATCTAGTAGTGTAGTTAGCCCGCGTCAGACTCTGCGCGAGCTGGCAAGAGACAACGAGTAACAGCTAAAACTAAACCCAGCCCATCAATTAGTGGTACGGCGCATGCGTTTACTTACGCGTGCGCGTCACAGTGCGGCGAGGGTTTGCACTTCAGTGCTTTTCATTGTCTCACGTAGCTGTAACAATTCCGGTAGTAATAGCAGGACAGTGTGCATGAAGGGATATGTGGACGCATTTCTAATACAATATTGTACTACATTATGTACTGTAGATTTGTATTGGTGATGTGTATCATTACTCCTGAGACAAGGCCTTTAACTCAATGGCGTGGAAAGCACCAGTAAGCATGCACGCCAGTCTTAATAAATATTGTGCTGTTAAAAGCTATGTGCTTTGGGCCAGTGGCCAGAACGAATGCAACACTTTTTTTATGCAAGAGCAGGCAAATTTTTTGTGCACTATCTTATTTAGAACCACATATGATAATACGAGAAATTAATTATGTGCAGTGTGGTACGGAAAATCCGCATCAAGACGGCTAGGCAGGCTCGCTTTGCTCGCCAATAAGGGTAAGAGGATTTCTCAAATCTTAAATGTGCTGTATTCAGGCATGAATAATTATTCTCATGAAACTATGATTTATATCACCAAAAGCAAAATAAACATTAATCTCATGTCAATAGCATCGCAAACACTAGTAGTTTTGTGATGTGTGCACATAAAATATTGCTCTAGGGCCTCGAGGACACAATGAGAGCAAGTCTGATGAGACTGTCCATGGTCTTCCGGAGGGAGGGGGGAAGAGGAGGAGGAGCTTGACGGGATGGAGTGGACACAGCTTCACGGTAGCCACACACCAGTGTGTCCTTAGACCCCACTCCAACGCTGAGTGGCCTTGGCGACAGGTCTGCCTGTGTGTCCAGTAGACAAACGACCATACCCACCAGCAGGAGATGGTAATATTATTCGTATACATTATACAATCATCCCTCTTTACCATAAGAAAATGTGAGAAGCATAGCATAGACACTAAACCATGCCCTTGTCTAGTAATCTCTGTGCATAGAGAAACTGGTGAAAAAACAGCGAGACCCACACCAATGATGATGCACAACAACTAGCTATAACCACACCAATCACTATACTATAATACTGTAAGGAAGAAATCTTGAGTGTCAATGAAGCTACCTTCACAAGACTTAATATAGCAGCTATCTCAGTTTGTGTGTTGAGAGAAACGCAGGACGGCCAAAACGTGCATTGCAAAGACAGTGTAAGGAATGAGCCACATAAACTACTCTCTTTACCTTTGCACTGGTGAGCACTCCAGTGTTGACAGCCTCTCCTCCCCAGTGCCCTCTCCAATCTCAGTCCAGTCCCGAGTCCAGCCACGAACTGGAACAGAGACTGGTCGTTGTCCCGGTTGTAGGGAGATACGAATCTGTCGGCTGTGAATGCCAGGTCAAAGTCCACCGGGGCAAGGTCGGTTCTCGTGTCCCTACATAGTATAAGAGTTTAAATTTGACATTGTGTTCTACTTAGTCGCTTACATATCCTCTACTTGTGCGTAATGTTCCATGATCGAGATGTATGAATAATCACAGTCACATGGGCAGTGTAGTAGCTCAGAATACATCGTTTGAGCCCAAGCTTGCGATGTCACACAATGTGATGTACGCCGTCTGACATTACTTAATTACAACATTGCTGGAAACTTCTGTGGTACTGCAGGCTCCTACACTGAATCTTAAGTCATGTGACTGTCACATGAGACCCCATTCTTCCACACTAATAAACCCCACACACCACTCACAGGAGGTAGGATGACAAAGTTGTTGGGGTGCTGGTTGCAGTGGGGCTCAAAGGGATTGTGGTCAATGAAGTAGCCCCAGTTTATCCGATTGGTTGCCAGGGTAGAGGAAATCAAGCCCACTTCCCAGCCAAGTCTCCAGTACAATGCGGCCAGCACAGAGCCATGGCTGTGGGGGTTATGAAGAGTGCTAATTTCTTGACTGTGTATAGCTAAATACAAGTTGATATGTACTAAACAGAAGCTCTGAAGTAGCTTTATTGTGTCAATTTCAGATAACGATTGAAATACCCTAGGCAGCTCTAACTATAATAGCTACCTCTACCAATTGGTGGAAAGCTTGACCAAAAGAGAATGTGTATTTCATATGTCTTTGTATTCAGTGACAGATCTAGGATTTTGGAAGGGGGGTTCCGCTGTCCAGAACGTTTTTGACCGTGCTCGTGTGCGCGCACGAGGCTGGCATCGCGTGCGCGAAACGACAGAAGGGAACTGATCTGCCACTGGTACTGTAGCAACTTTGAAGCATCAGTTTTTGTCTGGTTGCCTGAACTCCTGAGTTCAGTAATTTATTTGCGCAAAAAAGTCTGACAAATTGCTTGATACAACCTACATTGTACTACCTTTTCACCGCTAGGACACAATCAGAGGACCATGCAGAATCGATAAAGATATAAAGTCATAATAAAAAGTTTCGACCATTTTGTCTTGTTCACCAAGTGAAAAACTCATTCCATTAGCTATAAATTCAGGTCACATGACAGTAAAAATGTGAATGCTACACTACTTGTGCACAGTAGTTCCTGACTCAGAGGGACGAGGTCTTTCATACCAGTAGACTGTACGACAGCCATTCCCAAGGAGTCGCAGTTGACAGACCCTCTGGGTGAAGGTGGGTGGAGTTTCTTGAAGAGGGGTGTGGCACAGCGTTGACGGGCTCCTTCTGTGAAACAGTAGCACTCGACAACGATGGAAATTTCGTTGGAAGAAGGAAACACATCAGGACCACATGTTTGTTTATAGCCACTCTCTACAAGGAGGTCCTTTTCCCCAATGTAAAAGATGCATTTTTAACCCTCTGCAACCAATGCGCATCGAGGTTTACAGTAGTTTGGTTTGTCTGTGTTGTGTGTCGACGGTTTATTCTGGCATTACATGCTACGAGGCTGCATAGGACAGCAGCAGAAGCAAAGCGAGCCTGCCTAGCCGTCTGAATGCAGATTATCGTAACGACTGACTGCAGCACTGACGTACGTACGTGATTCTTGAACACATGTGAAAAATGACTGCTTGCTTTGCGTGCATTTCTGACCTTCTTATGTGTCCTCCAGTGCAACAGGCTGACCAGGTTGGTAGTATTTGAGGGCTGGCCATTGGCAGTGTGTGAGACCACGCTCAGAAAGAGAGCGAGGATAGGAGGAGCGGGAGAGGGAGGGGAGGAGGTGAGGAGAGGTGAGAGACCGGGGAGAAGGTCAGAGGAAAGTCGACGCTCTCCGAGAGATCTCCAACACTCCACAGTATTTTGGAACCGGTGTACTGATCGTGTTTTTACTGAAGTGGGAAAGGGTGGAAATACTTTTTGAAAGGCCACCTCTTTAATTCTTCTTTACTCTCCGCCCTACAAATCATATGTCATATGTTGAAGTGTCTTTGTATGAGCACTACAAAGTAAGTGGCATGGCATGGGACACTAACCCTTCTTGTTTAGAGAGTCTCTATTATAGCTAAAACAATCATGATACTATAGAACTAGATAGAAGTGCCCAGGCCTATGGGAGAAACT